AACATTAGCCAGTATAACGGCATCAATGACGGCAGGTGGAATAGCTCAGCGGGAGGACCACCACGGTCAAAGTGGTTAAAGTTAACGTTTTGTGGCAGATACTGATCTGTGTGCTTAGTTCTGTGTTTGATCAAACAGGTTTATTAAATGGGAAGAATACAAAGAAAATCTCCAAGACAAGTGACCACTTAGGCCACAGGCTTTGCACTTCTTGTGTCCAAAGTGTGAAATGTTGTGGCTAGAGACACTGGGCAGTAGGCAATGTCTACCCTTGTCTGGATATGACAAAAAGGTCTGATGGCGCCTATGTAAAAATTCAGCTGTGGTGATGATTGAAAATATCGCACACATATTCACAGACAAAGGTCAGCAAAAATTCAAGTGTCAGTTCAGCCCCGTAAGAGTTTGCTGTTAGGAGAAAGGGGCACATTTTGGAGAAAAAAGTCAAAAAGCAATAATTAATTTGTTTCTGTTTAAGTTGTGATAGGCCTGGGTGCATCTTTGAAAACTAATTATTGATTGATTTTATTAAATGTAGAAAAGACGTTTCCACAGGTTGTCCAGCTGTCTTTGCTTGTCTGGTCAGGTGTTGCGCAAGGTGCCAATTAGTTTTCTTAAAACCAAATTATCCTGTCAGAGCATAATTAATAATTAGTTTCAAACCTTAAAGTTGTTTAAAGCTTTATAGACCTGGAGTAGAATGGCAGACATTGTGACAAGTCTGACAATAGCAGCCACTGTGACAAATTATCTCTGAAGTCTACTGTAGTGTTTGTGTATGCTTTTATAATGTGTCTCTCTCTTTTCTCTCTCTCTCTCTCTTTTTTTTTTTAACACCCTACCCATCCCCCATCCCCCTACATCCAGAGATGGAGGCATAATTTTTTTTATTTCCCCCACCCCCCAAACTGTGCTTGTCTCATCACAAGACACACGTTCACTGTGTAGCCAGGGAACTGGGAACTGTTGTCCCTCAAGGTGTGTGCATGTGTGAAAACTGAGGAATGGGCATAGTTCTCCCCATGATATCTTCCCAAACTGTATCTGGAACACAATTCATGTTTACTTTAGTTTGATTGGCTATTATTTGGGCCATATTACCGAAGAGTATAGCTGAGCTATAGACAGTCAATCATAAGAGGCATGGAGATGTTTCCCATAGCCCTTAAGGTTAATGATGCCCAGTAGTTTTTGATTTGCATAATGAGCCCCAGCATTTTTTTCTAAATCCTGAAGGTGCAATGAGAAGTCATTTTGTTGCTGACTGAATGGAGGTTAAGTTGGGTGCAGACTATCTGCCGACTGGTAAGCACATGAACGTTTGAAGGCCACAATTTAAAGAGTTCTCTCAGGGACCTTTGATGGGTATTCGATATGCCCTTTGCAATCACCATGAACAGCAGACTCCATGCCCTAAAACTTACGGCCTATGCATTAGACAACAATTGGTCTGATCACACAATGAAAAGCGATCCTGCTTTGCCCTATAACAACAGCCCTGCTGAACTGGCAGGATTAGAGCATGCCTGCCCCAGCCGGGGGTTGCCATGGGAAAAAACTCCTTTCGGCCTGGGCGCGAGGTCTGGTTCTCATTTAGACTGCTTTTCGAGGATCTTTTGTTTTATGTGCTTACACTATCAATGTTAGGCCCATTAATTCACATCTGCAATTATAATGTCCAATTAGAGAGTGTCTGCCTGGCTTGTGTGCTCTATACCGTGGTGGAGCTTGGGTAATGGTGTCGTTTCAGCCTGAAATGGGCCATCGTCTCAAACGGTTTGTTACTTTTGTGATTGCCTACCCGCTGACTGCGGTGTTCCTTCAGTGAGATGTAGAAGTGCATCACTCCATGGGGGCTCAAGGAGAAGAGGAATGGGACAGAGCAGTGAGGAGATTCTGTGGTAGAAGCTATTCATGCAAGAGTAATGGCTGCTATGTAGTGATGTCTGTTTGCTTTAATCATATACATACTTCCATTTACTTAATACAAGTGGATGATATACCAGCTGCCGATATACTGTTTACTAGGAAAATATTATTTTTGGCTTTATATTGCAATACTAGCAAATAATCACAGTTTGTAAGTTGATGTTATTTCTTGGAATTTGCCTTCGTTTCAGTTTCCTCAATTGAATAGCATAGTGGATAAACTAATGTAAATATGTGTGTGTATATATGTTTTATATTACATTTTTTCCAGTATGTTAGTTTCTTAGTTTCAGCCACCATCATACCAATATGTATGGTTATCTGGTTATCTGCTTGGCATGTACATGCTAGGTTGTAATCTATGCGATGCTGAAGCAAGGCAAGTAGAAACCTCTGCGGTTATGGATGAACATGATGCTCTCATTCAACCCCCAGCAATAAATAACTCAGAAAAATGATTGTGTGAAAGACGAATAATGAGGCGTGCTATTTTTCACGTGCCTTTTAGCCTGCTCTCTGTGCAAGACCCCTCTCATTCGGGGGGAATATAAACACAAGGGCTATGGAGTGAGCTGTGAGAGTTGCACACTTTGGAGCTTATCCATTAAATCTGTGTAGCTAATCTCAGCTGAGAAGAAAGACACTCACAATCTCATGGGTGTTTATTTGCATACCATATGTAGCAGCAGCATGGCATTGAACAGCTTCTGATTTTACCTTTTGCTTGGGCCTCTAAATCTTATACGTAATCTTAAATGAGAAGCAAGTGTATTGACAGTGGTTTGCAGTTCACCTGATCACTTTGTGGCCATTGTATTGATGCGTTGCTATTTAAGTAGGGTCCTTTTGAAGATTTACTTTCTAGCATTGTATGGAGTGCTGAAAAATTTGTGTGAATGAATTTGGTTTTGAAATATATATTTACACTATACTTGATATAATTTGAAATATAATTTACACTATACTTGAGAGGTACATGCAGAAATATAACAAATAAATACAATAAAAAAGGCACATTGATCAGTTACTTTGCTTATTGCTAATGTTTTTTTCCTACTATTTTTTTTTCTCAATCTGTCACAGAAATAAGTAAATAAGTATGTGCCTGTGTATGACTTGTTGTGTGACCACTACTGAAAAAAGTGGTCTTCTGTTTAGCATTCCTTTTTAATTTAATGCAAAATATTTCATTAGGAATAATATTATCAGCACAACAGTTTGAGTGAAAAGTAAAATCTTTCAAATATTTACATGAATTTCAGAGTTTCTTTGTATTTGATATGGCCGCTTTTTTGCTTTAATGACAGTGTGTGCTCAAACTGGCTCTACAAGGTTGTGCAAAAGCCTCTGATTAGTAGATTGAATCCACCTAAACTTAATTTTTTAGATAAAACTAAAAAAATCTGTTTTGCACAAAGGCTTTAATATTGTCAATGTCATTTATTTGCTTATAGTTAAAGACCTAGGAAGTGATTTTTTTTTGTGCACTGTTTATTGTTTTTGAGGTGCAAATTTTGAATATTTCTTTCATTTTACTTGTTACAACTTTTTCTTTGTTTTCATTTTTTCTCAATTTTTTTTCATTTTTCATGTTTTCATTTTTATACCTTTTTCCCCAATTCTTGCCCTGTAGTTAAATACAGCTTTCAAATAGCATGAAGTTTCATTGATGTGTCTTTTCATGAAACAAAACAAAAACGAAAGTTATTTACAGCTACTACTATGCTGTGACTAGTCTTAAGCAAAACACACTGCTGATGCTGGCAATATCAGTAACATTAGCACAGGCAGATGGCTTCTGCAGTTCACACACAACAGTGGACATATGAAAAAAATGGATAAATCAATGACCAGCAAAATAAAAGCAACAGCAAAGTGAAAAGCTACAAAGATGTGGCGGTGTGAGAGCAAGAGGGCGATAATCATGCAGGAGTTGAAACACGCAAACACTGTTGCTCTCACTGAACGCCGGTGATGAAACTTGGAAACTGCGTTGACCTTAACTTTAGTGGTCACCCTGTGTTCACATGTTTTCCATGTTTAGGTTCATATGAACCCTTTCACACAACAAAAAGAAATATTTAATTATTGAAATAATAATTTGGATGAAGCTTATTTTGTCCACTCATGTAGCTGTAACAGAATTCTCTATGTTAAGTGGGAAAAATCTCTCACTTAACATAGAGAATAATATATAATAATATATAATAATATTTGTGCCAATGTGATTGATTCATTATTTTAATCATGATTATTTGACATTATTTTTATCTATCTATCTATCTATCTATCTATATATATATATATATATATATATATATATATATATATATATATATATATATATATATATATATACACACACACACACACACACACATAAAATGGATGATAATGGACATTAGTGCCTAATAATAGATGTAAAACAAAATGTCCTCCATACGATCTGTTGTATTTTTGAAGAGCTGCCATCACTAAAGAACTGTGACGATATGTCCTAAATGCTGTTCTGGCCTGTCAGTTTGCATTCTTCACTCTGAAAACCCTGCAGTGTACCTATTGGTCAGCACGCTTTAGCTGGACTATCCATGCACCGACACAAACAATGTGATGTTCAAACGTACTCAGCCATACAGCATGGCTGCTTCGTGGCCTCTTTAGAATATAGAGGTGTGTGCATTGCATAGGAAATTGTTGGCTGGTGAACACCGGAGCAGAGGTTATTGTCTCACTGAATGCGAGGAAACTGTATTTTTCTCTATCACTGAAGGATGCAATTAGACTGGTGGGTGTGCGTGTGTGACTGTGTGTGTGTCCTCCCTTCTCGTCCTCATAGAAACCTCTAGTGTGAGGATCTTACAGACCCAATTACTGTAATCACAAGATCAAAGAGCGGGTGTTGCAGAGAAGCGGGCATCAGTTGAGTCAAAGGGAGACGTGTGTGTGTGAGAGAGAGGGGGTGGAGGGGGGATGAGTAGGGCGTATACTATTCAGTTTCATGCGCAGATTAATTCTAACCCCTTTCTCTGCTCTCTTTCTTTCTATGTGTGCATGTGTGTTTGTGTATTCAGAGCCATTGCAGTATGAAAAGATGTCTCCGCTGCTATACTTCGGCAAGGGTGGTACAACTAATTCCTATAGGACATCAAACCTGGAGCTGAAGAGAAACAGGTAAACTCCAACTCACAGAGAAACAGTAAACACCTCTGCACAGTGAACCAGGTGAACTGCTGCTTTCCTTTAGCAGCTTCATGACGAGAGTGTATTTCATCTTTTCACACTTATCTCTTGTAATGCGGAATTGTTTTGTTAACATACTGTTCTTAGTGCTGGGCGATGCATCATTTATACTGTCATGAATTCATTACATATCGGAAAATCAAATTTGAAACAGTATATCAAAATTTTAAATTGTATCACCACTATGCCCCCATGGCTTCTTCGAGTGCTTCTCATTTATCATTTCTTTTATGGAAACCACTGTCAGTGATCAGTACTAGGCATCTACTACTCTCATTCTATTAAAGTAGGCAGGAAGGGGAGGGACTAATGCATGCAACCAAATTTCAGTAACAAGGCTTTGTATAAATCAGTTACGTTGCAGGCTTTGAAGTTATATTTGAGAGCTTTTATTTATCAAAGCCAAATCAATCTGTGTAGTACATAAGTAGACCTTTGTGGAATCAAGACACTTTTAGCACACAATATATATCAAAATCAAATTGAAAATGGTATTGAACCTTTTATACCCCTAGTAAGTATGTGTGAAAGATGTGCACACACTGCAAACATTAGCATATGTACATATTCAGGTACTCATTATTCTTGCTGTATTGTAAAATATATCGTAGTGGGACACTACCGTATTGTAAGGATTTTTTTGTCGTTACACGTCCACACCAGCATTAGTATCAAATAACAATAGTGATTTTTAGTTTTTGTGCTATTGATACATGACAAAACATTAACAGCAGCGTATGCCATTTGTTGGATGCGCCAGATTGTTTTGAAGGAACAGTTCAAAATACATAAAAAGATTTTCTTTCCGGAAATCTGGTTTCTATTTGGTTTACAATACAGTGTAAGGTTCCATTTGGTGCCAATTTAAGAGAACAAAACAGAACAAAACAGTCCAATCAAAAAAAGCTACAGTGTTTCAGGTTGGTGAGACATTGTTGTAGCAGAGAGCAACAGCACACAGGAAGTGTGGGTTCATTAACTTTATTAATGCAGACTGAACTAGTACCAAATACTGTGATTGAATTTTATCAGTACCGCCCAGCACTAACCACTCAGTTGTTTTCCCTGAGTGCTGCCATGTACAGTGATTTTAACATGTTTTTCACATAGCAGCATATGTAGTAATTATAAAAATATGCAGTGCTCAATTTTGTCCAAACCACTGGTATGTTGGAAATGTAGACATCTACCTCTTTGTGAAATATAGATTCTTTCTCTCACCAACCCCCCACCCCCCTCTCCTCTCTCTCCCCGTCTCCCTCTCCCTGCAGCACCATGAATGCTGTCACTTGGATTAAGGCCAGATCTTTAGATCTTCGGCCAACTCTCTAGCTCTGAGCCACAAATACATAGTCCACTGGTTGCCATCTCTCCAGCACCTTTGTGTGTGTGCGCGTGTGCACGTGTCAGTAACCTATGTTTAATGTGTCCTGACATGAATGCGCATTTGACTGGATGACAGCTCTTTACATAGCTAATACAAGATGGCTGCTTTTTCTTTATGATTTCCATCCAAAGATTTTTAAAGCTTTAAAACCAAAATGTTTGGAATGGCTTTAGAAAATAGATTTTTTTACTCTATTAGTAGCAGAAATAAGACATACTAATAAAGCTTAACTACTGTCCGGCTGAAGGGTGAATAGGTGACTTGTCCTTCCAGCAGAGACATAAAGGATGCTTTTTACCACCTGACCACATCGTCTCTGCTGTGGCCCCGGAGCGGACTGTCATGTTGCTTCACCATCAGGTCCTCGTTTGCCTCGGTGAACATTCAACGCTGTCGGTGAGTTTGAGCTAAATAGAAAAAACCATCGACCGTTGATTGTACCTCGTGGCCAAGCCCTGACGAGCCAGTTCACCCGCACACGCACGCGCTGATCCGCAGAACGGCCTGAAATACTGAGGGCCCTGTCCTCCGGCATTGCCTTCATCCTCAAACGACTTCCGAGAACTTCTGGCTCGAAGAACTTCAGCGAAGGTCACAATCAACATTCATTGCTGTCGGTGGGTTGGACTGTGAGGAAAAGCTCACTGAACAATGAATGCAACTGTGTCCCAGTCTTCTTCATCTCAGCTGCGTTGGAGACGAACGTTGACCAGCAGTGCTGATTGTGCATATTTATTACTCTCATAGTTTGTGTTTTCTCATTATGAAGACATGACATGCATAGACTACTTCTTCATCGGGTACAGAAAATCAGAGACTTGCATTATCGGTAAAATGAGAATAAAGCACACTAGGGAACGCCTACTTTTCCTTTGTGTTTTAATGATGTTTTAATCAGAGGAATGTCTCATTTTCCTTTGTGTTTTAATGATGTTTTAATCAGGTCAGGATTATTTCTAGCTCACTGTATCTCATTTTATTGTATAATTACTTCTGAGCTGCTTTACCTCAGACAAGTCGAAACTAAGTGTATTTATTGCTTTAAAATATGTGCTGCTTGTTTGCAGGTGCTGTCTTTTGTATTTTGGAACTGTGGAATAAAGATCTATTCACATGTAGACATTTTTAAATCTGTTGGCTTCTTTTTCTGTATTTTCCATTTACATCCAAAAAAGCAGACTAACACTTTACTTCACTAAATCCTTTTCATGTAAGATATATTGCAAAAAAGCAGGTTTTATTTCTTTTTTCCCCATTCTTAAAGCTCAGATTCACCAGCGAAATATAAAAATACAAAGTATGGATTTGATCCGCATGACTCACTGGATTTAATTCGAATTATGCACCGGTTTCCATTGGCCTGCATATCCACCCCTAAGAAATTCACTTCGGGATGCGTCACATTGAAGCTAAATTGAGCAGATCATTGAGAGATCAGAGGAGGGATATGGCTGAGTATTTAGCAGCTGCATCTTAATTAGAGGCTAACGGTTTTACTGTCCGTTTCTAGGCCAATCCAAGATTATGGCTCATGGCTGGTAGTTTATGAAAAATTAATCCAAATTAAATTGGTCAAGTAGCTGAAGTGGCTTATCGTATCAGTGTGGGTGAGAGCCCAGAGGCACCTCAGTGACAGCGCTGACAGAGATTGACTCTTCATTATCTGAGGGAAATGCCAGTCAATCCATGGGATTAATTAACATCAGATTACAGTTTAATCTAAAACCTGCCATGGCTGCCTTCTTTAACGGTGTGCAGCTTTGTGTTGGTGGTACGGGTTTTGGTTTGCTTGGTGATTATATGCTTCATGGGGTGTTGATGGAAGTGTCACACCAGTGACACGCACAAAGCCTGAGAAGCACCGCCTGCACAGCCAAGTTTCTTTAAAAAGTAAAACCTACCTAATAAAATACTGCCTTGGGATCTAAACACATTAAACTATTCATTTAAGCTTTGGTTCACCAGGCCAATGGGCTGGTCAATTACTCCACAAGAAAATTCTTATGTTGGCCACTAGGAAAGCCTCGTAGTCCACTGACGACCCTAGGGAGAATGATCAAAGGCCTTTTTATTGCGAAAACTACAGAATTCTGCCTCTGTCAAGGCCTTTGATGTCTCTTATTTGCTCTTTGTTTGGGCATCTTTAATTAGGTACTGTGGGTTGCTTTGCTATTGTTTCCAGGGAGGAATTTCAAAGCCACAGACTTCAGCTGTATTTTCAGAAAGAACATCTTGGTGTTCTCAGATTTGGTGGCTGTGGTTAAAAACTGGCACCAGTGAAATGTGTGGAAAGAAAACTCTACAGGATGGTCAACAAAAAGAAAGGAAGGAAGGAGGTTTTTGAGTAAGTTTGTTACAAAATCACACCCATGTTCACTGTGTTGATGGACTGCAGGCCAACATCAGTTACAGGTAAGACAGGAGCACATGCCATTATGTTAGCTACTACATTATGGTGGCTGTGGTTAAAAACTGGCACCAGTGAAATGTGTGGAAAGAAAACTCTACAGGATGGTCAACAAAAAGAAAGGAAGGAAGGAGGTTTTTGAGTAAGTTTGTTACAAAATCACACCCATGTTCACTGTGTTGATGGACTGCAGGCCAACATCAGTTACAGGTAAGACAGGAGCACATGCCATTATGTTAGCTCTTTTCTCTTAACATTGGAGAACAATGTGTAAATATACATACATACATACATACATACATCATCTAAACCGCTTATCCTTCTGGGTCGCGGTGGGGTGCTGGAGCCTATCCCAGCTGTCATTGGGTGGAAGGCAGGATACACCCTGGATAGGTTGCCAGTCCATCGCAGGGCAGACAGACAGACATACACATTCACACTCACACCAAGGGGCAATTTAGCATGTCCAATTGGCCTGACTGCATGTTTTTGGACTGTGGGAGGAAACCGGAGTACCCGGAGGAAACCCACGCAGACACAGGGAGAACAGGCAAACTCCACACAGAAATGACCCTGGTCACCCGGCCGGGAATCGAACCCAGGCCATTCTTGCTGTGAGGCGACAGCGCTACCCACTGCACCACCGTGCTACAATGTGTAAATATTTCCAAACAAATTATCAGTTTCAGATGTTTTTGATCCCCAGACAATGATGGACACCTGTGTGCCACATTGTAACTAATCTGCCAAATAAATAAAACACAGTGATGGCACTTTCAGCGTCTCTGCTTGGTTGTATAGTTTAGAGCTGCAGCCTCAAGCTGGAGAACATAGGCTGTAGGATTGAGTTACAAAATGCTGCTTACAATGCAAATAAATAAAATACAGACAAAGCATTTTCAAATCTAACGCATCTTAGTTTCCCCAAATGTGAGCATTCTCAATGAAATACAGTGTTGCAAATATTCTTTTATTTTTCCATTTTGGAAATCACAACCATAATTGTGAAGTGTGTGAGAAGTGATCATTCCATGTGTAATGTTGGTAGATACAGAATAGTTCAATAAAGTTTTCAAATTTTCCCCATAATTCAACTGCTGAAAAACACAAAGTTGTCATTAAGAATGGTTTGAGGTAAACAGTGGTTTTTAAAGAATCTCATTACCTGAAGATTTCTTTGTAGTAGTGATGCAAACCAGGAGTCAAAATGTCTACAGTGCAGATGTAGCCATTTTACTTGCTATGCAGAATTATCAGTTTTCTTTTCTAAAATATGTTTTAGGCAAAAAGTTCATCACAAAACTACTGTAAGATAAATGCAAATAAGCAGCATATTTCATGTAATAGCTTAATAGCTAACGGACACCTGGTTCCTATCACCACAATTTTGACTTTTTTTATTAAAGAAAAGCTCAGTTCACACATATATATATATATATATATGTATGTGTGTGTGTGTGTGTACACACACACACACACATGGCGATGAGCGGGGTGGAAATGTTAAAGTCAAGGCTCTGAAAATTTAAGTGTTGCAATAAAATCAGTAAATCACTAACAGGTCTTGGATCAACGCAAAAAGCTTCGCACCTCTACTGCACCCCCTGGTGCTGAAGTTGTGTTACTGCCTGTAGTTAATAAGTGTGTCCCCATAACGGTTATATTAGAGAAATGCTGCCACGCAGTGGCCTTTTCTCTGATGTGCATGATCACAGGTTTTTGGTGGAGTTCTGCAGCAGGGTATGGCAAAAAGCCTCATTAACATTCAGCAATGGTTCTCAAACAAAAGTGCTCTGTTGAAAAAATACCCTGTGATCACTAACTATGATATATATGATGATATAATTGTATAAGTAATGCTTTGCTTTGGAATTTTCTTATTCATTTTTGGCAAAAGACCAATCTAGGAATAGCTGCATAAGCTATAGTTGCATATTTATGACACTCATTTCCATGAAACTCATCATACAATTGAA